ATTATATCTTTTAACACTAAGCAGTAGCATGTAGGTACAAAATATTATCAAATTTGTAGGTCTTACTTCTAAGTAATTTATATAATAAAACAAGTTATTTATCTTATCTTAACTTTTAATTGACAGCTTACTTACGTGGAGAACCAGATTCGAGCAAGATACACTAAACCGGAAGAAAATTCGACTTAAAGCCTGTGCAAAATCGGAAATATAATTATGATAATAAAGTAAACAAATACTAAAATGTACTGCTATTACCGAAACAAAATACTATTAAAAAATTTTAACAGATAATATAGAATCCAACATTTTTATTATAATTTTATAGGCAACGACTTTTTTTGTGTGTGTAATGAATTGTGCTTTTGATTTGAATAAAAGATTTGTTTACTCAAGGAAAATAAATTATCATTGCAAAATCTAATCAAATCACGATAATGCCTTTACTATTGCGCTGAAAAACCTAGAATTTTTCGGTTCAGTACAACAAAATATTTACTGTAATGCATGGGCTGGGCATGGCCAACTTGTTAAAGTGCCGGACTGTGAATCTGATAGTCCATGGTTTGCGTCCGGCTGCCGCAAAATCGCTCTCCGTAGATTCATTAACAGTAATGTCCAAATCCTACTATTAGATTAGAATAGTCTAAGAGTATGCGGTAGGTGCTGTTACTACCTGTTTTTCTTCTTCTAGTTCAACAGTTCAGTATTAGAAAAGGTTAGCGCAAGATAGCCACTATGTAGCTCTGCGTTAATATATCCAAAACAAACAATACGAACATAGATCGAATTTCCTGAAAAACAAAACATAAACTATCTGTGCTGATTTGCAGCAAAATTTATAACTAGACTTAATTTTGTCCATTTGCGATGTTACATCGTATACCCCAGGATTACTCCTGAGCTTAGGGTGGGTGGGGGGCGCCCTTGTCAACAAATCGCACTATGTGGTGGGGTGTGCCCTTGTCAACAAATCGCACTATGTGGTGAGAATAGTCCAACGTTGGGTGTTCTTGACTATCTGCCTTACATCTAGCTTATCATCCCAAAATCGTGGACAGGTATATGCATAGAACACTGAAACAAACAAACAAGCCAGATCACTTGAAAAGTGATATTAACGTTTAAGACGGCATACACAATATTTAGCTGTCAGAGTTAAGGTCCAAACTATAATACAACAAAAGCACGGTTGAAATGTCAAATTCTGTAGTAGGATGTACCTTATTGTTAAATTTACTCCAGGTAAAACGTCAACAATAATAAACTTTGTTATCTTGATCTTAAAATCATCAAGTTTGAACGGAAATTTTATTGTTACGTCTCCGTTCGTTATTTAATTTTCCGTAAAAATTATTTCCGAAGAAACTCTAACGCTACAAGTCCTTTCTTAAATAAAACTGGTTTATTCTTTCTGAATACAACTTTGCATTACACTTAATTTCAACAGTCGCGGTATAACCAACACTATAACTCACAACGAACGTCTCACGTGCCCAACAGTATTCTCTGTCCGCATACATTCAATTACTCATTACCTTCTTGCCGTCACGTTGTGACCGTCTTATATATAAAAGAATACCGAGATCTAGTAAACTCGCGATATTTCAGGAAGGGACGTGAACGTTCGAGAAGCTTGTGGCGTGATACTAGCGTCACGTGACCTCCGTAACATTATCATGATGTTGAATCATTTCTCAACTTCAATTTAACGGTTATGTAACCATACTTTAAATATAAAGAAAATACATTTAAGATTCTAATTCGCTCCTTTCTTTCAGAGGTGTAGTATTTTAAAAATATGTATATACTGTTTTCTTCCAAAATTATGTCTTTGAGGGTAAATTTAGAAACCAGCACATGAGCTTTTAAGTTAGTATTGACGAATATATCGAATTTTACATTTGTTAAAACTTATATGTATGTATTGTAGCTATAAATATACAACCATCAAATAAGTTTTAAGTTAAATGACTTGGAATCACAAACTAATTTTGGAATTCCAAACCGAAAGTAATTAGATGTATTGGGACAATTCATAGTTCCCTAACGGTTTCGTTTAGCAATGAATTTTTCTTTCTTCATTAAAATACTAAACATGAAAACGTTTTACATTTCTTTGAAAGCTTAAGCAACTCATATTAACAACAACAATATATGTATAGCGTAAAAACATACTCCGTAAAATACACACAGAGCTATTTCAATTTTAATTGACTAAATAAATTGCCACCCTTAATCTCACCAATTTAAAGTTTGTTTGTTTGTTATTAAGCACATAGCTACACAAAGGGCTATCTGTGCTCTGCCCACCACGGGTATAGAAACCACTGTGCTCAAAAAAAAAAAAAGAAGCAATGTACCTAAAGGCATTATACTTTATAAACTGAAGTACCCGTCTTTTGCTCAGTTTATGGACTTAAAAAATGTGTGGGTGTGGATGCTGTGATAAATATTATCTTTCATGTGGAAGAAAAGAAATCCGTATCACACACACATGTATAATAATAAAATATCTATGATGTCGCTTAATAACTTCCTTAATAAATTTGAAAACATATAGAATTATCCAGATGTTACAAGCTTCGGTTATTTGGTACAGCTAAAATTGTTAATTCGTTACGTATTTGCATCTTTCTGATGTAATAAATATCTATAATTTAATTGGTTTTATAGCATTTACGACATCGATAATACAGTGTTTCCTAACAGATTGTGAACGTGTATTTGACATTTACCACAAGCCAGCAAGAAAGACATTGAGAGGTTATATCTGTTGACTATGAACGACAATATTAATAATTATCACTTTTGATATTTCGGAACGAAGGCAACATCCATTTCACAATGCAACACTTTGATCAACTGCGTCGTGCCCATAGGTCACCAGCTCTCCCCAGTGCTTTCCAGACATTGTTTTAATATTCCCAAATATATGTATAAACATTTGGTTAAATATGTTCAAAATATCTATCTGTATTGGAAAACATTAAGTTCATGAAACCAACAACGGAGTCCAGCACAGAGGTACC